AAGAGTCATTTATAAATTAATAAAAATTTTAAACATTATTCCCTCATGAAAATTTTTCTATTACAAAATGGTTTAACTCGACTATTTTCTCTAACAATGCAAACCTAAGAAAAAAATTTGTATTCGAGAGATTTCGGTAATTCAAGACTTCCCGGATATGTTTTCTGATGAACTACCCAGACTGTCAGTGGATAAAGAAGTTGAATTCACCATAGATCTTCAGCTAAGTCGTGTTGAGATCGAAGAGTTGAGAAAACAGATCAATGAATTACAGGATAGTGGGTTCATCCGACATAGTGTGTCCTTTTAGAGTATTGGAATCACATTTGTAAGGAATGAGAATAAGATATTAAGGTTATATATTGACTACATAGGACTGAACAAGGTCACGATCAAGAACAAGTACCCATTCCCTAAGATCAATGACCTTTTTGATCAGTTGCAGGGTGTCCAGGTCTTCTCCAAAATAGATTTATATTCAGGTTACCATCAAGTAAAAATTAAGGCAAAAAACATTCTCAAAATAACTTTTCGAACCATATACGGACACTATGAGTACCTGGTCATGCCATTTGGACTAACCAATGCACCAACCATCTTTGTGGATTTGATGAACAGGGTTTTCAGATAATTTCTCGATCAGTCTGTCATTATATTTATTGATGATATCCTAGTTTGTTTAAAAAAAGATAGAGGAACACGCTCACTATCTAACTCAGGTTTTATAGGTTCTCAGAGAAAAGAAGTTATATGTAAAGTTGAGTAAGTATAGATTTTGTCCCGAGCAAACTACCTTCCTAGGGCATATCATATCAAGGGATGGAGTGTCAGTGATGTAACGGCCCCGGAAAATTTAAAATGAAATGTGTATTAAAAATATCAAATGCGGAAGCGAAGTCAAAAATTCGATTAACATCCCTTACACTAAAACTAAAAATGTGCTCACAAAATATAAAAGATCAAACTACTTAAAGGAGAAACTTGAAAGTAAAAGCTACAAATATGACTACGGAGTCTTTAGGCATCCCCTTCGTCGTCCTCCTGCGGAACGGGCTCGGGAACAATGTCTTCCTGATCTGAAATGATTAAATAAGGAATGAGCTACACTAGCCCAGTAAGGATATCACGATATCTCACCGTCACGGAGGTAAAGGTGGGTAGAAAACACAAAAAGACCAATGGAACATAATTTACAATAAATTCTTTTGTCAATAATAAATCCTTTACCATCCACTTACCTCGGTGAAATTCATAAAACAGTATACGAAAGCAATAACATTATCATCATCGTGAAATCATATATAAACTGTATAACATAATACTTATCACGCCTTTTGTAATTCAATCATTACACAACATATTTTCCTCTTTTACCAGCCCACTAGTATCCATGGGGATCCATAGGGGTCCCGCTACCCGTTAACCCTTAACACTTGAAATCAGATTCCAGGGCCGTCCCCATACCCCGTCCGGTATGGGCGCCAAAACTATAAACCTCATTACCCCGTCCGGGTATGAGGTGAAACGGCCGTCCCCATACCCGTCCGGTATGGGAGACCACAATCCCGGTAGGGTTTCATACGGACCCGGTCCGTCCACCATCTCACAGGATATCTAGTCAGGCTGACCACATTATACAATTACCCATTTACATAATCTTTCATTCTCTTTTTCCTCAGTCAACATCATCAATCCACATACAAACAAGCAAAACGATAATTTATGCCAAACAGACAACATACAGCATCAATATCCCAGTCATTAAATCCATAATCAATAAAATAGTAAA